TGCTTAGGGTTCAGGGTTTAGGGTTTAGGGTCTAGCGAAAATGTCTGGAGCGCACACTCGAGGGCCGGCGGAGCGCACACTCGAGGCTTCCCCCCCCCGAAGCCCCAGAGTTTCCAGTTCAACCGCTTCAATCATTGCAAATATGGCTAAAAGGGTTGACATGGAAACTCTGAGGCTTCCGGGCAGAAAAAAGTAATAAACAATTGACATGGTTGAAAAGGCTGAAACGTAACAAAGTGACGCTTTCTCCATATACAAAATGGCAAGATAAACTTTCCGGTGCGAGCACTTCTGGAAGGAAACCTGCCGCAACAAATTGGTTTTTGCTCCCTATACGACATGGCAAGATAAATTTCAGGCGCGGGAACTTCTGAAAGGAAAACCTGCCGTAACAAAGTGGCGCTTTCTTCTCTATACGACATGGCAAGATAAAGTTCCGGCGCGAGCACTTCTGGAAGTACAACTCACTGGATCAAACGGTCCCTTTTGAACTTAAACCTTTTGAACTTAAAGCACGTTCGGATTCATTCGTTTCAACAGGACATCCCTACACACTCGCACAGACACACGCAAGCCTCACGGCCCTGGGACCCCCCTAGAACCGCCGAGGCGGCGCGCTCAAGCATTTACAATTATGTATAGGGGTGTGCTCATGCATAGGGTTCTGGAAAATAAACCGAGGGCCTGCAGCACAGGCTCCTATCAAAGAAACATAGGGGTCTACAGGCTACCATAGGGGGGGCTATTTTCTGGACCTATCTTCGTTTAGGACGGTTCAGCTCCTTTAAGGCTTTAAGGTTTAAGATAGGCCTTCAAAAATGTTGCAGACAAGGTCTCCAAGAGCTCTCAAAAGGGTGTGGAGGCTGGAAAGGGTCTCAACGGAGTCTCGCAATGTGCGGCGGCCACAAACGACCATGTGAATCTGAGCGGCTGGCATGGAACGACCCACCCGAGAGTTTCAGCACGGCAAATCCAGATTCTGCATGACCTGCATCTTGGGCTGCCGTCACTGCCGTCCGTACCCGACTTCACCATCACCGAGCCCGCGGCTGTGGGTCTAGGTCGGCGCTGTGCGAAGGCGCCTGCAGCCAAGGAAGGAATATCAAGGAGTCATTGTGCCGTGCTTTCGTGAGAGCGACGTGTCGACACATAGCCGCACTGCGTGATCTGCAACAGCTGAATAATACGTTCCAATCCTCCAACTCGCGGTATGCAGCTTGGAACCAAGCTGGGTAGTGGACTGACATCACACCTGGTCACTCACGAATTGTTCCTTCCCACACCCCAACGGACTGCAATGCAAAGATCACGAAAGCTTGCACTATGACCGCACGCACGCCAATGCACGCTCCGAGCTGAAACGATGGTGAGCGTCTTCAAGGAAATCTACGCAGCCATTGTGCCTCACTAGCGCGTGGGGCTTTGGATGGGTGCCTGCGGATGTGGGCTTTGATCTCCCCAATGCCAGCCGTGCTCAGTGAACATAGTGATCCTGCTTCCCTGGAACTGCCAAACCCCCCGGCCCCTCATCTTGTTCTGGGAGCCCAGGCAGGGTGCACATGGAGCAGGAGACGACCTGCTGCAGGGGGATGAGCCACAAAACGCACAAAGCTCCAAAACCCTAAAGCGCAAACTCGAATGCTGCATGCCAGGATTCCGCAAACCTCGCGGGCGGAAGCAGGCTGCGAGATATCGGCTGGAGGGGACTAGGGAAAGGACGTTGTGGGTGGGCACCGGCCCAAATGAACCCCAGACTGTGGGTGACCACAGAAGTGTTTCCAGGCCTAGGCGCTTGGGGCAAACTTAGGGGTCTAGTTTTATATGCGTTGCTGATGCAGAGCTTTCAGCCGTGGATCCGGCCTCTGCCTTTCCCTAGTTTGCGACTGTCCACAACTGCGTATGTGCGGATCCTGTGGTCTGCATCTCAAGACCCTGAAAGGCTGGATAAACCTCAATGGCTCGCGAGCAGCGTTGTCAGACAACCCCCCCCCCCAAGTCGTTTCGACATGTATCAAACATACAAGGTACTCACACACACACACACACGAGCATTTCCTGGAGCACTCGGAGTGCTTTACGTCGCAGACATTCAATGATTCACAGGGATATTGGAAACGAAGCACGCCCGAAAGCTCTAGCCGTGCGATCTTTTCACGAGCTCCTGCAGCTGGACACCTCGTGACACCCGGTCCCTGCAAGTGGACTATCCCTGCGGATTGGCACATCTGTTGCCAGACTTGCCTATACAGACGAAACCCTGACTTGCTCCAACATGTTCGACTTCAGCAAATCAAACGAGTTGAGTTTTTTGCTGTTTAACTTCGTGATGCTGAGTACAACGCCGCGTGAACCCGCCAAACCCTTTAGTTTTGACCAAAAGTCTTAGACCAAATCATGTAGTATGGCAGTATGGTCATTGGCGCTGACCAAGAGTTTGTAGGAAAAGTGGTCTTTGGAGAGAAATGGAGAGAATATGTGTATGATAGATAGACCATGCTTTTGAATAGCCACAAGTAAATGATATGTAAAGTCGGCGCGCAAGCCTTGGCAGAAGTGCCTGCAGTGTCATACACCGCTCGCAAACACAAACTTGTTTGTGTGCAGACTGGCATATAGCGTCTGCTTCCAGGATGAATTCTGCACATTGACTGTCGCATGGCTGCTGGGGCTTGCGCTGGCATATTGGGTCGGGGTGGGTTGGGGGGCGCAGCCAAGGTAAGCCAGGAGGACTTTCAGCAGCTCCCTTTTGGTGCCAGGGTCGATCAGACTACGTTCGGCACAAGCACGCCGAAGCTCTGTGTGCAAAAGCCGAAGGCTTGGACGAAAGCCCTCGTCCAGCTGCGAAGCACAAAAGGCAGCGGGACTTCGTGTCATTCCTGTCTCTGCGCTGGCACCCGGCTCGGGTTGCGCTGCAGGAATTGAAAGCTGCGAGAGCGCCAAGTCCAGCTGCTCCGTGACGAGCTCCTTCACTGCGATCTCTGCCAGATCTGACAGACCAACAGCGACAGCCTACAAGAACCTCAGGGGGCTTTGGCTCTTACTGCGTATGCACAGGCGCGAGCTTTTGCAGCTTTGGACTGTGAAAGGACCGGGCCTCCGGTAGTGACTCCTGCACAAGCAGCAACGCTTAGGGCTATCGGGGTGCTTGCGTGCGCACTTGCAAGACTTAAACAAAAGAAGGAGTCTCATTGCAGGCCTCGCATGCCACGCGCACGGCCAGCCGGGCTGTGAGCTCCGCTGCGTCACCAGCGGCATCAAGTCCACAGGCTCGGCCTTTCAAGAATCCCTCAAGTAGTGACTCAGACGCCGCGCAGCGCCGCATAATGCCCAGCGTTGGCGCGCAAACCCTGATGAGGGAGAGGCCTTCCATGCTGGGAGTGACCTGCAGAAGAGCAGCGTATGCCACACCAGAGAGAGGGAGAGAGAGAGAGAGAGAGAGAGAGAGAGAGAGAGAGAGAGAGAGAGAGAGAGAGAGAGAGAGAGAGAGAGAGAGAGAGAGAGAGAGAGAGCGAGCGCGAGAGAGAGAGAGAGGGAGGGAGAGAGAGAGGAGAGCGGGAGAGAGGGATAGAGGGAGAGGTTGAGAGAGGGAGAGAGGGGAGAGAGGGGAGAGAGGGGAGAGGGGGAAGGAGGGAATAGGGAGGGGGAGGGGGAGGGAGAGGAGAGGGAGAAGGAGGGAGAGGAGAGGGAGAAGAGTGGGAGAAGAGTGGGAGAAGAGTGGGAGAAGAGTGGGAGGGGAGAGAGAGGCAGAGAGGGAGAGAGGAGAGAGGCAGAGAGGGAGAGAGGGAGAGAGGGAGAGAGGGAGAGAGGGAGAGAGGGAGAGAGGGAGAGAGGGAGAGAGGGAGAGAGGGGGGAGAGAGCGAGAGAGCGAGAGAGAGGGAGAGGTACAGGGCCAGGGCCAGGGACATATGCAAACTCTGACACAGGAACAGGGACGGGGACACGTACACAGACCCGGACACACCTGCCCGCCCACCCACGCACGCAAGTACCGCCACACACCTTGGGCAGCAACTGTCGCTCAATGCCAGAAGCAAACAAGCCCTTCAACACCTTTCCAGACGCCTGGCTCTCGGAACCCCTTGGGCACCTCTTCAGCCCAAAAGGTGGTTGTAGACAGGGTCTCATGTGACCTCTCACGCCGCAGCCCACATCCACCGAACTTACATGACCGCCTGAGGCTTGGACTGTCCGGGCTCGACCTGCAGACATGCAAAAAGAGCTGTAGGAGGCTCCCGGCATGAACTCAGGTCTGCTTGGCTGACGCTTAAGGTGCTGCTGTGCTGTCCAGAGCGAACTTGCTGGCATCGGTAGCGTTTTAATGAGGTTTCCAGACTGCCAGAAGAACATGCACTAGTTTCGCACGGGGGGCAACAAAAAAGCGCAACAGTATCTACGGACGGGTACTGCTAGGTATCTACATGGAACGGAGGAATGTCAATCACGCAACAAGGCCGCTGCTAGTTGAAACGATTGTGCACCCGTACTGAGCTACCCGATGCTTTCTGTAGAGACGTCAAAAAGGCACAGTTTTCCCGGAACTGCAAGTGCCCGGATTTGCGGCGGTCCGTGCTTGGGATGGGACCGATGCGACCTTCGTCGATTGAACCTCAACTTCGACCAGATGCTCCTGGCCAATGTGTGACTGCATTTACAGCTCGCTTCATGCGGGAGGCCCCGAGTAGGACGTGCAGAAGACCCCGTTCCAGAGAACTGACAAACATGTCAAGGCGACCAGCTTTGCCCGACAGCCTTTCGTGAGTCCTTTCCTTCGGGCTGCCACGGAACCTTCAACACAGCTGCAGCCACAAACAACAAAGCAGCATAATTTGGCAGGAACTGCGACACAGGCCTCCCTGCAAGGACACAGTCAACGATGCATGGAAACCTCGGAGAAACTATGCGACTCACAAAAACTCAGCGACCTGTCAAGATTGTCGCAACTGCGCAACACAAAACATTTGGTTGAGTGTATCATGCCCATAGGAGCCATGCTTGCCATCTCATTTACCACCTCGCGGCACAGAACTTCGGAAGTACCCCCCCCATGTATAAAGCTGCAGAATCTCGCATTCGTTGTGCAACAACTTCAACAACCTTGCAGTGCAGTGCGATGAATGCAGTGATGGGAGCTGCTACTAACAAACGTAGGTTAACCCACTCGTCACTCCCATCCCCAAGTGAAAAACTCAACATCGCAGTTCAGCAGCACACCCAACCCTTCAAGATGCAATCAGAGCTAAAAAACCCAGTAAAACAAACAAGCTCAAGCATTGCGCAGCGCAAGAAAACACCCCGGTTGGCAGTAACAACTACCCGTTCGGTTCCTGCCACCTCAGAACTTCTCGGAACGCAGCAGTTGTCACGCATGTCTGCCAAGTCCGAATTCCATGCAGTTTCCCGCAGGGGAGTCCATGACGATGAGGCCAGTGCCAGGCGGCTTCGGTTTCAGCAAGGCTTTTACGACATGTTGGTCAACAAACTCCACCCGTGAGGCACGTGTAGAATATGTGCGCAGGCTCCCCCCCGGGCTCCCCCCCCCCCCCATATGCAACGGGCAGCTACGCGTCTCAAGTACCCTGAGCATGTATTTGAGAAACAAACGATTGACGGTGGATCAAAGCCGAAACAACGAGGCCACATCTCAGCAACTTGTATCTGCTGAAAGATGCTTGTCTACTGATGCATGAGCCTCTGCAGAAATGCTCGTCTCACTGTCTGGGATGAAACTGCTGTAGGCCGCTACTTGCGACTCACTTCTTGTGCCTGCTGTCGAGATGCCGAGGAAAGCGGCGCTTTGACGGCCCTCTGCTGCTGGCACATGTAGCTGCGCACTGTCGTGTCAACTTCCCCCCGTGGTTTGAAGTCGTAAATGACATTGGCACGGGTCATGTTCTGCAAGAAGAGGTGGCATGGACACTCAAAACGTCAACGCTGGCACGTGCTTGTGCCTGTGCTTTCAATTTCTGACACGTGCGCGATTCAGGCATCTGCGGGAAATGGACTGCTACTTGTCGTGCAACTTTCAATGGTGTTGTCTGGTCTTTAGCGCTGGTAGACTCAAACAAGCATGAATGGAGGCTCTCCGAACAAATGACCAAACGAACGACGAATTCTGACACGGGCCTGTGTCTCGAAGCCGTGCTCCACAGCAGCAGGGTAGGTCTGGCACAAACAGCGCACAGTCGACTGCGCGAGAGCGAGAGGCTTTTCCATTTGTAAGCAACGCTGACGGCTCCTCGAAAGATGTCACAGCCAAAGAGCACCTGGCTCACATAGTTGAGACGCAGGTTTGCACGAGCCGCAAGCGTCCCAAGTCAGTGAGCCTGCAAGTAGCTCTCGGATGCCTTGCGTAATCAAGCAGCAGTCAACAATTCTACAAGTCGATGGCTTCCCACACAGTCCGGCCTCTGGCAGCTGCGGGGGCTCCGCAGGCGACGCCTGCAGAAGGGCCTCCCGAGTTCTCTCCTTGACAAGTCTTAGCACCTCTCCATCAACCGCAAAAGCACACCAGCTTGCCAAACACCTGCTCATTTGTAACGTGTAGATCGAGGGCCCTCCCCGTTGCTAAGCGCGATCGCACACCAGCGTGCCTTCTCAAGGTCGGGCCCTGCCCCGCCTTGACGCTGTCTGGCGGCGGCCTTCGATATCTTCACAAGGTGAAAGCCGGAAATGCCGGTTCTGTACAACTGGCAGGGCATTGACTGTCATGCATGCCGGGCTCGCCATTGCAAACTAGACCATTGCTGTCAGTGTAAATGTCTGTGTCCGTGTGCGCGTGTGCGGTGCCCCTCTTGCCGGACTACTTTGGCAATGGCATAAAAAATCGAAATGCTCGCGAGATTGTGACACGTTTGCCAATGTAAAAGCTAGCGAAATTTGCTGGAAGCGCAGGGGTGGGTGCGACAGTGCGATGCAAACTATTTCTGACATTTAAAAACCGGAACCCTGGAAGCCTCGCTGGGAATTAGGGAGTGGGGTTCAGTGTCAGAGCTTTAAGATTTACGTAAGATTGTGTGTTTCGGGTCTATGGTAATCCGCCGAGGCCGGAGGCCTGAGGCGTTTAGATCCAAGTCTCTGGGAAGTGTACCCACCCCCTACCGCGCGCTGTGCCAGCCCGCGCGGGGGTTTTTTTTGACCGGGTACCCCCCGTAGTCGACCTGTCTCCAGTCGCAGCTGACGTGCCCTTGCCAGGGGGCTTTGCAGCCAGGTATCCCCACCCCCGCCCCCCCCCGCCCCCCCCCCCCCCCCCCCCCCCCCCCCCCCCCCCCCACCCCCCCCCACCCCCACACCCCCGCCAGCCCGACCTCAAACCGAGTCTGTACAGCTGGCAAGCAACAGGCAACCCCTTCCTGGCCGCCCCACGTGGGGGGCCTTGGCCCAGACGACAACCGTTGTTCACATCATGCCATTGAGCCCCCAGCAATCTGTCACGACATGCACTGCTTATGCGCATATCTAGCTGACTTTGGGGGTCTTGCTGAGCTATGTTACTTTCAAACCACCTTCGATGTTTTGTAGTACTAGTAGAAGAGGAGCTAGCATTCACAATCGTAACTAGGTATAGTCACGAGTGCGTGCACGAGCGCGAAAGGCTACAGAGGCAGGCCAGGATGACCGAAGTTGCCAGCCTCCGTCCAACCTACGGATGGGATCTAACCACACCGCCAAAGAAGGAGGCGTCTGAGTGCTGGCGAGCGTAAGCTTCCCAAACCCCCAGGAGCGAACGAATCAATCGCCCAAGGCCGTTGCACGGAAAAGATCGGAAACCAGTCGTGAATCGCGGAAACCAACCAGAACGGCTGAATCGGAAAACATGGCTGAATCGAAAACCATACGACAAAATCGGAAACTGCGAAACGGATGGTTTGTAGAGCTGAGCCATTCAGCCCCAGCAAACTGCACCGCGAGCACACCGTTGCTGCGTACATGTTCGAAGTGATTTGGTCATCAACTAGCATACTGGTCTCCAAGGATTCAGCGGCTGATCTTCGGTTTTCAACTTCTGAATTCGGGGTGGTTTGCTCCCCTGCTTCGGGTCGAGCTAGCAGGGGTTGTGACTGGATTCAGCGGCTGATTTTCGGTTTTCAATAGTTTTCAGCTGGAGATTTGCTCCCCTGCTTCTGAATTCGGGGTGATGTGCTCCCCTGCTTCGGGTCGAGTTAGCGGGGGTTGGGATTGGAGTCAGTGGCTGATTCTATTTCGTCGTTCAGCTTCTGAATGCGGGCGGCCCTGCTCCCCTGCTTCGGGTCGATGTCGGTAGCATTTCACGACTCGAAGTTTCTCAATCCTGGGGCTGGTTCTGATTCTTTGACTGATCGGGCGTGGGTGGTGTGCGTGTGCGCGCGCGCGCTTTCCTGCACTGGACGGCCTGCTTCGCCTTGGCCTTGGCGATGCGGCCAGCCTGCCGCCAGAACGAAAAACACCCAGAGCATGTGGCCCACAGCATGCCATGTTTTCTTTGATGTCGCACCTCTTTTTGCTTCTCCACCTGGAAGCGCTTTTCGCCCAGCTCCTGTTGCAGAAGCCGTATACCCTATCACAATGTCTGGACTCAGGGTGCTGATGCTCGCCGTCTAGGGATCCGACAAAACTGTTGGTTCGGGACTTCTCGGGGGCTCGAGCATGCAAGCGAAAAAACTATGCCAGTTCTGCGTTCCGCAATGGCAAGAGCAAGAAGTCACAAGCCACAAAAAGAACGATTCCCAACTTAAATCGCAAGCGGCCCGTCTACCAACCTTCAGGGGCTAAGCACGACATGGAGAGCCTATCAGCTCCACCTGCAATGAAACAAAGCTCCCATGTCCTGGCCTCGCGGTGGAATTCCACAAGGTGCCCGTACATATCCGGAATGAGCACGGAATCATCATCCTTGCGGGATGGTAGGAGGAGGCTCAAGGCAACGTGACCTCAATGATCAGGCGTACGCGGGTCGAATCAGCACCCAAGCCCCAAGCGAAGTCAGCTTATGTCGCCCACTCCACTGTCCACTCATGCGAGCTGAAAGGAAGGCCGGCCCAATTGTCGGATTCCGCATGCCATCCCCCCGAACCGCAGAAAAAGACCACTGCAAAGACGAAGAAAATCAACAATCTCAAGACGCGACTGCAAAAAAAAAAGCCGAAAAGTGCCGCAACCTGTATAATACTGTAAAACACACCGAACGCATCCGAACGCATACCCTGCGTACCTTGCTGGTCCCGAGCTCGCGCTCCAGCTCATCGTACATTGCGCCAAGCCCGAAGGGGTCTTGGGGGTCCTGGGGCCAGGACTTCGACGCTCAGCGATTCGGGGAGTGTTGGGTCGTGGGATTGGAAACTTCAAGCGTGCGACCCCTCGGGTCTGTGCCTGGGCTTACTGCTGAGACTTACGCTGTAAGGATGAGGGTCGCTCACGACCTGGGATTGGCGGTCTTCTCTCGAATTTGTGTGCCGGGCTGTCCAAGATGGAGCCCGACCACAAGGCATCTCGAACAACATACGTCCCAGCTGTTTTTTCTGTAGCATTCTGTACGTGGCAGCCCTTCATGCAAAGACTGTTATGTTAGACTCGGTTAGGCCCCCTGAAACCCAGCCAGTTGGCTCCTCCGGAGCGTGGGCCTCCTCGCGATCCTCAGAGCGATCCTCAAGGGCCGGCCGGCTCCCAGGAAAGCAGCGGACACTCGCAACTCCAATTCGGGGCTAAGGGTTTCGGGAGATTAGGTTCAGGGCTTAATCCGAGCACCTGTTTAAGTAATACCCCCCACAAAAGAACTTTTTTGTCCGGAAGCCCGCCGGAAGACTACTTTCCATTAGGGTGGATTTCGTATGGGGATAACCCCCCACATTTAAAGGACTCTTTTTGGGGGGGTTGAAAAATCTGTCGCCGGCTTCTTGTTTTGCTTGCGGAGATGCGAAGCAACAGCACCTCAGGGATCTGCAGCCTATTGTTGTTAATAGAGAATCAATGCAGGGCCATGGTCCAATTATTGGGAACCCTGCCTTCCTTATTGCGGCGGGAGGGGGGGGGGCCCAATTAAACAGATGTTCGGATTAAGGCCCGAATGGGTCACAAAGTTTCGAGTTTCTTGAACTCAGGATGGTTCTGGCCTGGATCAAAGGTTATCGGTTTCGCAGCTGCTTTTTCGAGCGGCTTGCAAGTGCGTTCGGGCCGCAAAAGGTTTTAGTTAGGGTCTTGAGGGTATACAGAAGTGAATGTTCAGACCACGCAAGAATCAGGTACTTTAGGAGGTCACAGGCACGTAAAAACCTGGTGACTTGGAGGTGCGGACGCTGTTTTCGCCTGGGTGTTAGCTGTTCAAGCACATTGTATGTGTACATTTTCTGTGAACGCGCGAGATAGCAAAGGATGCCCCACAGCAACAGACACTGTAACAGCCGATTTTTTGAACTTCACAAAACTACAAAAATCTGAAATATATGACACAGAAGTACACATTACTCCTTTCATTTCGGGCGTTCTAGTGAAAGGCCACAACGGCGGCAAGCAAGCACATAGAACCATGGTTTTTGCAAGGTTCTACGACATGCGCACAAGGGTCAATTTTGTGCGTTTTTGTTTTTTGTTGTTGTGCTGCTTCTGCTGGCAGTTGTTAGTGGTTCGAGCATCATGACGACACACCGCTCGCATAAGCCTTGCGACAGTGCGTCTTGCTATAGAAACGTCAAACATCCTGGTGCAGCATGTTGTGTAGTGGACCAAAATCGATGTAGTACATGGTCGTAACCAAGCCGCCCCCCCCCCCCCCCCCGCTGCCCTTTAGGAGACCCCCGGAACCCAACAGCATGGCACTGCCAGTGGGCCCGGTCATTGAGCGTCAACGACCCAGCGCTGCGCCACATGAAGCCCGAGGAAAGCCCAAGGAACGCTGCGCAAGCTACTTCAAGCTACCAGCTCAAGCTTTGAATGTTGCATGGAGCAGTCATGTCGTGGTGCCGGGGGCCGACGTCAATCGAAAGTACACATATGACTCATATGACATATGGAGCATAACAGCTCGCCGCACGTGCGCTGCCAGTGAAGGAGGCACGGTGTCCATTTTGACTACGCGGGCTCTGCGTCCGCAGACAACAAGATCTGCAGGTTCGAAATGATGAGCTGTTGATGCCCCGGGTCAGTGTCTCGCTTCAGCACATTCAGCAGTGAGATGGCCCATTGTTGCCGCTCACCTCTACTTAGGGAGCGCAAAAAGTATCTCAGCTGCTCCATGGCCTCCGACTTCCATGCCCACTTGCTTTCTGACAGTTGCAATGACTCCAATAACCCAAGCATAGAAGATGCCACTGCCTTCTGTATGCACAGCTTGCCATCTGGCACGCAGATGTGCAAAGCTTGGAAAGCAGCCAATGACACAACGCGATCCTCGCCATGACAATGTCCAAGGAGGTCTCGAATCAACATGTCGGTGTCGGTGTCAATTGCCGGGAAATCTGTTGATGCAGCGCTACAAAGCGAAATCATCCAAGATTGGCCTCAGTGTCGTTGGCACAGTACTGAAGCGGGTACGCCAGAAATCTATGAAGCACAAACGCGAGCTAACCAACCAAGAAAATTAGGAAACACTGTTGAGCTGTCCAATCCAAGAAACAATCGAACACCTTGATGCGCTTGTCATCACCGCAACACTGTTCTCGCACGCAACGGCTCGCAACTCGAAAAGGGGGTTCCTTGCACATTTCAGACGGAGCGGGCGCATTTGCAATCAATTACGGTTCGCAAACGTATTGAACTCCAAGCGGATGCACTGACAAACAATTGACCTGAATGCCGGAGGGAGGAACTTTCATTCAAACACGTACAGCCCCACAGCAGTTGTACAGTTGGACATGGAACGAGTAAGGCTGGGCTGGCAAGGATGAGGCCGTTGCACCATATCCCTCCTGTGGCATGACTGAACTACTCTGAGATTCTGCCGGGGAGTTGGCGACCGCCCGCAACACTCCGCGGGCAAGGTCTGCGAACTCCACCACGGTTGCAGGCCTCAACCACAAACATATGGCGAGCCCTATGCTGCTGATTTCAGCTTCTGTGATTGTAAATACGCAGGGTTCATCCAGTCATAAGCCCGCCTGCTCAGAGATCCGAGCTCCGCGATGTGCTGGAAGAGAACCTGCAATTGAATACGCAAGCTGAGAAAACTTGAGAGACCCCTGCGGTATTGTGCGGCGGGAGCTGTTTGTTGCTGGAAAGATCGGAGTGGGGTTGCTACACTTGAGCGCACACTCTTGTTTGCCGCGGACCATGCCGTGGCCGCGTGAGAAACGGTTCGAAGGTATTCCGAGAGGACCCCAGTTGGCCATCGGGTCTTGGTCTTTGCTGGGCCCCCTCCCCAGAGTCATCTGAGCATGGGTTGGGCCCCTCCCGGTAACCCAGCATTGGGTGGGGGTTAAGGCTAGTAGCTTGTGGAGCCTTTACTTCAGCAAATGGACTGGGGCCGGCAACCGCATAGCAGGTATCCAAGAACAGCTGACACCTGTAATGGCATGGTCACCAGACAGTCCCAAAAGACACCAACCGAACCGACGACAACGTTTAAGAAACGCAATTTGTAGACTATGCATTCCTGACGCACTGGCCAGGTCAAACCATGCTCAGCTCAAGCTCAAGCTGCAAACGCCTGCAGAAACGCTGTCGGCGAGTCACAACACAAACTGCCTGGACCCTTCTTTGGAAATAAAATAATACAGTGTCCAGGAACCGTCACACCTGTCACTACAATGGAACAATCTCGATGCCTGCAAAACCAATCAAACAAGCTCCCAAAAAAAGTCTCGAATCAATGCTCGTGTCGGCCGCCTTGGGGCAACGCTTCTGCCTTGAGGTGACGCGCCAGCGCATTATCTCCGGCACCTTGGAGTGTAAAACAAACGCCAAGGAATGTTGGATGGCAACCATCTTTGCTCGCATCAGCCTGCGAACTAAAAGGCACATGCCAACCTGTTCTCGCTTGGCTTCATACGAACATGGAACAGGCTCTGTACTCTTCACCAATTCCACCATCACTTGCACAGTGGCTTCGTTCTGGGCCCCTTTAAAGACCTGCTCCGACGCCCTCGCCCCCGCCCAAAATGTGCTACATGAACCCCAGCCGTGTCGCGGTTCTGCACCCTGCACACTGGCTCGATTGGCGGGATGGACAGTCTTGGAGCCAAGGCGCGGAAAGGTAATCCAGCAGAGTCGGCCTGAAAGCAGAAGTTCCAACAGAGCACAGGCGAGGCAGGGCAACCATCATGATTGTTGCAAACTGAGCACGTAGTAAGTGCTATACTGCTGCACTGTACGGATTTTTTTTCCAGGTCTGGAGCTCGCAGTCGTTGCCAGCTCCATCGTGTTCTATTCAATTTGCTTCAATGGGCCCGCCACTGAGACCTCTGGAATCTACACACCGTAAAGGACATAAAGGCGGACCATGCCAGAACAGAGCGCTCAACGGAGGACAATGAGCCGCTAAATGGCCTTGACTCACCCCACAGCCTGACACAGCCTGACCCTCTGACGTTCTCCTATCCAGTATTGTCTAATGCTGTACCTGCTTTAGTGTGCCCCCCCCCGCCCGAACAGTCGAAGCTGGCTTTTGCTTTCTTGAACAGTCCACGGGCTTATATGATTCAAAAGGGAGGAGTTTAGATGAGTTTAAACGGTACAGCGCGGCCCGCCAATTGACTGTAAAGGCGCGCCCCACGAAATTTTCTTGCGACAGCCGGACGATTTGACTGAATAGAGGATCCCACAACACACCCCCCAACCAGTCGCAGCGTCCTGAAAAGCCCAGCAAACTTGACTTCAAACAGGGGGCCCCCACTAAATCAGGCACAACCGGTACAACACTATAGACTTCAGATGATTGCAGGCAGCACGGGCCAAGATATTCCAATACAGCCAAGGCACCAAAGAGGCGAATGTGGATCGTGCAGGTCAGAACGTGGTGTGGCTGCAGTCGCAAACGCGCCGTCTTGAACATGGACGTGTGCATGTGCTGCTTCGTCTTTTTGCTGGAGATCTTCAGCAAGGACTGCAGCGTGTTTGCAGAACCTAGGTGCTGGGAGACCCCGGCATGTACAGACAATTCTGCCGGCGAAGAATTTAAACAGTAAGATTGTGGAGAAAGCAAAAACGCGTGAAACAACAACACGGCGCCCTAAACTTCAGTGCTGGCCCCTTTTTCGGTCGTCGTGCAGCACCATGAGATAGAACCCAAAGACATAGACATGATTCATGCCTTTCTTGCCCAAATATACAGGAATATGCCCACATGCAGCATTTGTGACTGGCTAAATGCGCTAGCGCTGCAGTTTTCCAAAACCACGATACACCTGACCCCGCGCCGAAACGAAGACAGGCAAGCAAGACCGCATGCAATATTAGGGCCTGGCAGAATGCATTCGAGCAGCGTCCGTTCGTCTATGTCTATTGGGTTGTCTGTGTTTCGTTACAGCATGCAAACAAATCAAAATCAAAAATGGAAATAGATTGGTGTTTTGCGACCAACCACGATCCCACGTGCATCCCGGAGCATGCCACATGCATTCTTCGTCGCCTGAAACATGCATTTGGCAACGGTTTCCCGTTTGTCCTCGTCATGAAGTCGTCGAGTCTCCTTCTTTCTCTGCATAAGGAGGAAGAGCGAGAAGGGTTCTCACACATCTAGCAGCTTTTCGACGTTTTGCAAGAGTTCCGAAAGGGGCCCAAAAACAAAGGGAACATGCCCAAATGCTTTTTTTAAGGCCGGCTGAATGCATTCTCGACGCTGCTTCTTTGCAAAACCACAATAGACCTGAACTCGCGCGGAAAGAACAGAGGCCCCGGGCACAAGAGTCCAAAATAGGAAATGCATTCTTCGCCCGTGCGTAAATGCATTCGGCTCTCTTTTTCCCTTATTGACAGAATGCACAAGGAAAGAATATCATGAATGTGGCAGGCAAGACCAAAGCAAAGACCATACGCATTCTTCAAGCTTCGCCAAAATGCAAATACATTCTTCAAGCGTGCCTGCATGCATTCAGCTCTTTTTCCCTTTGTGCAAGGGCGGAAAGCAAGACCAAAGCAACACCAAATGATTTTTCAAGCCTGCAAAAATGTTTTCGCGCAGCTTCCGCTTTTCCATGTCTATTGGGCTGTCTGTGTTTCGTTACAGTGTGCAAACAGATCAAATTCAAATCCAAAAAAAGAAATAGATCGGTGTTCTGCGACCAACCACAATCCCACATTAAGCCAAGGGCATGCCAAACGCATTTTTCGCTGCCGGCGGGATGCATTTGGCAACGGCTTCTCGTCGTGTTGCATGCCGGTGTGCATTGCCCAAGGCCGCTTACCACAATAGACCTGCCCCTGCGCGGAAAAGACAGAGGCCCCGGATGCAGGACACACCAAAATTAAACGCCCAACGTATCCCAACATGTCAAGCTGCCCAAGATTCGGGCCAAAAGATTTTCAGAGCCCCAGCATGTTAAACTTGAGACGCAGACTTGGGACAAAAGCTTTTGAGCGCCCCAACATGTTCAACAATCCCACACTGAAAATGAATCGAAGAATTCATGAACGAGGACAAATACAGACTTCAACACGGTCAACCATTGCCAAATGCATTTTTCGAGCGACGAAACATGCGTTTGGCATGCCCCGGGATGCACGTGGGATCGTGGTTGGTCGCAAAACACCACTCTACTTCTACTTTTGGATTTTGGTTTTGATCTGTTTACACGCTGCAACGAAACACAGACAACCCAAGTGACGTGGACGACCGGATGCTGTGCGAATGCAACGGGCGAAGAATGAGATGGGGTGCTTGTTGCTTACGATGTCACCCTACGAGCCCGAAGGGAGGGGACATGCCGCAAGCTTA